GTCTGAACTTTTTTGTGCTTTGTTGATGAGCTCTTTCGAGGTCTCATTTCATTCTTTTGTGCATACAGTTCACTGAAATGATACAATCTCTTTTTGACAGGATCATTCAAGGAGGACCTATGAAAATGGGTCTAGAGAAAAGCTTTACGAACATCTTTAAAGCACGTGATTTTTACGGGATTAATTCTTTCCGTATATAGCAATTAACTTTTTGATCACTGTAGCAAGTAGTAACGGCTTGAATCATCTTTTTTTTCTGGTATTTACGAACATTGCAGCATAATGTATAACATATATTGCTGTGCATGATAAACCATATACCATATATTGGAGTTCAATAAGAATTCCTTTTTTCGAGCAAGTATTGTGCTTCGATTCCTTTTGCAAATTACTACTATTATATGGATTATTTGAATTCTAGTTTCAAATAATCTGCCATATATGCACACAGCCAAGATTCTCTTCTTGCCCTCTTCTGGATTCTCTCAATCTTTTGGATGAGGTTTTGTCTTAGACTTGTTTTGGAAACTTTGTTGTATTGTGTTACTTCTTGAGCAAATATAGTCTTCTAACATTTGGTCATCGAATCTGCCAAAGGTTAACAAACCACTATTTCTTGTCTGTAAATTCAGAGAGTCATAAAACTTGAACACGATTTGGGGAAAATCTTGATGGAAGTGTTGGAGAAAAGAACCTGTCAAAGAATGTCCAAGACTTCACATTTAAAAATAAAAACTAATCTTGACATTTCATTAGTTCTAATAAAACACATCGTGTTTAATAGATTAATTAATTCAGGTTCATATTTTGGTGTATTTACTACACTTGTATAATTATTAAAAATTAATTCATTACCCAAAAAAAAAACTAAAAATTATTACTAGCTAAAAAAATATTTTTTATGGCCAATCGCGCTCAAATATGTCATGAATAAACACATCGACAATTGAAAGAAGATTTGATTGAACATATTTGGCAAAAATCGGGCCAAAGTAATTGACTACAAGCGACTAAATTATTTTTATCATCATGTTTTTTTAAGGTTTTTTGAATTTTATGTTTTATTTTGCTTAAGTATATTCTACGTTTTTTTAATTGTAATATTACCTTTTGTAATCCTATGTTTTAATATATTAATTTTTGATTTTGAATTTTTTTTTTAATGATACTTAAAACGGTCTCACCAATGCAAACATATTTAGTAGGAGTATCAAAAAAAATCTTAATCAATAAACAAATATTATAAATAATACTAAAAAATTCCTAATGATACTATATCAGTATCACCTATAAGTATGCTCTAAACAATCCCAACTCTACAGATGACATTTTGAAGGCTTTCAAAAAAGTAAAAAAAAAAGACAGAAAAATAGTTTCATGATTCATCGGCCTCGGCGTCCTCCTATCACTTTTGGTTCTTCATTCTCAGGGGAAAGAGGGTTTCAAGAAAATGGATCAGAATCGAGATTGGTTTGTGCTACGAACGAGGGTGTTGCCAAGTCCAGTTCTGGCCTTCTGGGTAGTATAATTGACTGGCAATGAAACTTCTTTAGTAGCCGCATCAAAGGACAACGAATCGGAATATGAAACAGTAGCTGCAAATACAGTCAATTCTATATTGTGATAGCTTGTCTCCATCTTATGCCAGTTCGAATGCCCATCTAGGTAATGAATGGTGGGATCTTTGTGCGGGACCTCATGTCGAGACCACAAGGAAGATTAACAAGAAAGCGGTTGAACTAGAAGAGGAGATGAAAAGAGGCAAATGCTTCAGAGGATATACGGAACAGCTTGGGAGAGCGAAGAGCAACTAAAAGCATATCTTCATTTTAAAGAAGAAGCTAAACGCCGGGATCATAGACGAATTGGTACAAAATGATATTTTACTTTTGGGGAAATGTTTCATAACTGCAGGATGAAGCTGGAGGAGGATTAGTGTTTTGGCATCCAAAAGGTGCAATTGTTAGAAATATAATTGAAGAATCGAGGAAGAAGATGCACGTCGAACATGTCGCCAAAGCTGATCTGTGGTCACTTGGACTTGTACAGAGAGAATATGTATGTATGATCAAATGGAGATCGAGGATGAGCTTTATCAACTCCGACCCATGAATTGCCCTTACCAAAGAAAGCGTCAATCATATGGAATTTATTTTGCTAGTTTTCACAGTCTAGAATATATAACTGAAACCAAGAACAACACTCACAGACACGTTCGTTTTTTAGCTTGTGTTTGAGCGTGTACTCTTACTTAAGGAATTAGCTGAATGGGAGAACTGGGCTAAGATTCAGCTCATGTCTGTAGGTTCTGACTTGTTCGGGAAGTTTTCTAAATTCTTGTCATTGATACATTTCCATGGTGTTTCCATTCTGCAGTACATGAAGTATATATTCTTTGGTTGATTGGTTTTAATATTCATCGTGAATCGTCGATGCATTTGAGAGACGGGATAAGTTTAGGATGAGATAGTTTAGTTAGTCTGGTATGGATGTGAATGTGAATTTAAAGCCTGATGGATTTTTCGTAATCTCGGTTTTTTCTTTCTCCCTTTTAGAATCTGTTCTCCAGAGACGTGTGTACGTTCGTCGTTTCGTTTTTTTGGTATGTTCGTCGTTTCAATAGTGTTTAAATCCATTTCTTTCTTAACAATCTCCCAAAATCATCCTATATTATTCTTTAAAATCTCATCAAATCTCATTAAATCACAAAGGTTTTCTTTTTTAAAAATCTAACAATCTTCACAAACCCACTTAAATCTCTCAAAATTCCACCAAAATTATGTCTTAATCACTAACGGTTATTTACTTAGTATGTATTTCCAGCAACCTATTGTACCATTTCGTGTTTGCATTTTGACAAATTCGCAGCAGTAAGAATGAATGTTTGTTAATCAAAATCTATCTGTTGGTAACTCTATTTTATTGGTGATTTTTCAACTAGTTTTGTTCTTCATCAACAGTTTTGTAAATACATTAAAAGATAAAACTCTGAATCATCATTCTCTCGAGATACTCATCTATTTTGATTTGAATTTGTTTTTGTAAGTGTAGTTGTAGCATACTCAATGGTCAAAATCAGCTCCATTTCTGGCCGTCTCTTTCGATTAGGATTAGGCGATGGCGACAAGGTGGTGGCTCTGCCTCCAAAAGCTTTATTGATTAGATTCTTGTGATTTTCCTCGCTTATGACTCTGTGCTTTGGTTATCTGATCAACATGGTTTTAAAGACTTCAGTTACTTTGAATTTATTTTTTGTTAGGCACAAGATGATATTCTTGGCAATCAAGGTGCACAGAAGACTCGTGCTTCTTTGAGGTTTGGGGCCTTGTTTTACAATTTTGGAGTCTCTTACATTCATTAGATGATGAATTTAATTTACTGCTACTTTTTATTGTTTAGGAGAAAATCTGTGACAATTACCAGTGGAGCAACTTCCAACACAAACAATGTAAATGTTCTCCCCATTCATTTTTCTGAGTTCATCCAAATGTTGGATCTTATGTATTTATACAACATGTAAATGCATTTGTGTTCTAAACTGTTTTAAAATGGAGAACCCTAGCGCCGCCAGGGTCGAAGACCCGAGAGATCTTGATGAACACATGGAGGACGATGGCCGGCCGCCGGGTGGGGTTGCTGCTGGGCCGTCGCTGTGGGTGGATAAAGTGAAGGGCTGTAATGGGGGTGGTACGCCGGTGCCGGAGGCGCGGCTGGCGGACGATTTTGTGAACTCGAGGATGAATGTGGAATTCCCGAGTGGGGAAGAAGGAGAGGCGGTGGTGACAATCGGGCAGGAGGTTCTCGATGCGATGAATGGGCTCTACCGGCAGTGCATGATTGTGAAAGTTCTTGGCCGGCATATCACGATTGCGGCTTTGACTCGCAGATTGAGAGAGCTATGGAATCCGAAAGGAGGGATGTCAGTGCTAGATTTGCCGAGGAGTTTCTTCATGATACGGTTTAATTTGGAGGAAGACTATTTGGCTGCGGTTACTGGCGGTCCGTGGAGAGTTCTGGGGAGCATCCTGATGGTACAGGCGTGGTCGCCAACCTTCGATCCGCTGAGAGACGAAATCGTGACCACTCCGGTATGGATACGGATTTCGAATTTGCCAGTCAACTTCTATCACCGTGCAATTTTAATGGGGATAGCGGAGGGATTGGGAAAGCCAATCAGAGTGGACTTGACGACATTGAGAGTGGAGAGAGCACGGTTTGCTCGGGTGTGTATAGAGGTTAATTTGAAGAAGCCGTTGAAGGGTTCTGTGATGGTGAATGGGGAACGGTATTATGTCTCGTATGAGGGTTTAAATGTTATTTGCCCGTCGTGTGGTGTGTTTGGACATCTGGTGAACAATTGCCCAAGACGAAGCTCAGGTCCTATTGTCCCACTAACAAGGACAGAGAGTGGCAGTAGCCCTAGTCGGGATAACCAGGTGGTTGAGGGCTTTACTGAGGTGAGAAGATCAGGTCGGCGGTCTGCGGGTAAAGGAGCAGAGGTGGTGTTTGTTGCAGGGGGATCTGCGGAGAAAAGGGTAGAGAAGAATGTGGCAAAGGTTAGAGGCAGTGGTCATGAGTTGATGGAGATTTCAAACAGTTTCTGCGGGTTAGAAGTTGAGGTGGTGGAGCAGGACACCCGAAGACCAGAGAAGGTAGGGGTAGACAAGAAAGAGAATGAAGGTGCTCAGATGGGGTTGGTGAGCAGAGAGGGGAGTGTTGAACAAACTGGGAAGTCAGGAGAAGGGAAGGGAATAAGAGG